ACATTTTCTCGGGGGTTACTTAGAATTGATCGTTTGATTGGGTTTAAGCAACCCTAATCATTGGTTTGGTTTGATTTGGACTTTCTCGCTTTCTTTCGTCGGGTTTTACAAGACGACACTAAAAAGCGAAGCTTTCTTTCAGGAATTGTGTCGAACACCTTCAGTGGATTATTCATCACGTTGGTTCATCGTCCAGAACCAGAAACCTTACTCCACCTAAATCCAATCCGTGCTTCTAATCTTTCTTGTTTCCAGATACGACTCCAAGGTTTGCCTTTGTTTCTTATCCTTTTGCCTCTTTTCTTGATAATGGTGAATCTTGAACACGATGATTTTGCAGATGGTGAAGGAAGCAGAGGAGTGTGCAGTGGAAGACAAGAAGGTGAAGGAGAGGACAAGATTAGAGACGCACATGAAGAACCAAGTAAGCCTTGACAAACTGGAAGAGAGGTGCGATAAAGCTGGAGTCTTTGATGTGGAAAATGACCGTATTACACCTTCATGGCTTGGTGAAGCTGTTACGAACCAGGCGGCTGTTTATCCAGAGCGAACCATCAAGAGATTTATCAGTCAAAAGTAAATTCTTTTTCTCTTTTTTTTTTCTATCCAATCCATCCATGTTGAATGTTGCTTTAATTGCTCTTCTGCTCTTGTGGCAGGTTCGAGGACAGGAAGCTTGAACCTTGCCAGATTGTGAACAAATATGGCAAGCCATACATTGAAGTCCATATCAAGGATGGTGAGACTAAGGACGAGATGAGTGCTACTTTTGATGATAACCAAGGGGTTCTCTCCGCCCACTTGGGAGGTAGCTTACTCTTTTGATTACACGAATGCTTCTTCCTCTTCTTTTTACTTTGGGTGGTAATCCTTTCTTGTTATGATCATGTGAAGGTGAGGACTTTGACCTCAGAATCATGGACTACTTCATCAGATCGAACGTGAAAGCAGAGGATTAGGCGAGTGGTAAATCAGAGAAGATCACAATCACAAATGAAAAGGGTCGGTTGAGCCACAAAGGGATTGAGCTGATGGTGAAGGAGGCAGAGGATGACAAGAAGGCGAAGGAGAGAATCGACAAGGACAAGCTTGCAGCCAAACTGGAGGCTGAGGAGAAGGAAAATATCCAAGCAGCAACCAAAGAAGCCGAGAACCATAACTCAAAGAAAGAAGAGTATGGTGGTGGTGCCTTGGATGTGGAAATCATATCCAGTGACCAAAGAAACCGTATTATATCTTCAGGGGTTGGTTTCACTGACTCTGAGAGGCTCATTGGTGAAGCTGCTAAGAATCAGGCGGGTGAGATAACAACCATGGACGTCAAGAGATTGATCAGTCAAAAGTAAATCCATTCTCTTTCTCTTGTTGATTGTTTTGTATCACCATCCATTCATGTGTTGAATGTTGCTTTAGTTCCTCTTTCTTTTGCTGGCCTGTTATGGTAGGTTGGATGACAAACAAGTCCAAAAGGACAGGAAGCTTGTACCTGACCAGACTGTGAACAAAGATGGAAAGACTTGGGGATCTCCTTGGGGTGCATATCGGTCAAGCTCTGTCGAGCAAAACATGGATTTCTCTAAAGAATCTTCTAGTGACGAAGAAGTTGAGTCTGAAGATGAATTAGATCCTAAAGGAATTTCGATGATATGCCCAAGAAGATCTGCCGTTTTGGACTTACTTCCCCTTGATCTTCGTATGCGTTTGATGGAGAATGTGTCAGAGCCTATTACCACTAGATGGGCAAGGCATGTGTTTGGGTAGAAAAAGATTCAGGTATGTGTTGGAAACAGGATCAGCAGGAGGAGATTTGAGACTTCATGATTCTAGGGGCAGAATATATGTGTATTGGCCAGTACCCAAGTTAGATGAAAGTTACTATTTGTCGGCAGAAGCTAGGAAACTATTGAAATCAGTAGCCGGAGAAATTAGAGATCAATTAGGCCACGATATCTGTTGGATTTATGCATTATGCGGCATGATTAGTAGCACGAGGATGCTACACGGCTTGGACAAAGAGTTTGTGCCTTTGTGCCCACGATATCTCTGTCAAAACGTGAATCAAAAGGCTTATCTAAGAGAAATCCGTAAATCTAAGAATTCAAGGCCTCATCGTTGCTATGGTGGTGATAAAGAAGAAGGGTTAATATATGTGAAAAGACACGGTATTCCGAAAGAAAACCCTAGGAACAAGGACTTTAATTGCTATGTTCCAAGGCGAGTTGGTAAGAAAGCAAAGAAGTACAAGATAAAGGATGTCTTTCATTACCAAACTCTACAAGATGCCTTGATTCGGGTTAAGACTCATCCGGTTTGTGCTTCATTGGTATGTTTTGAGGGTTATAATGAACGAAAACTCTATGACTTGAAGGAAGGAGCTAGATACTTGGGTGAGCATGATGTCGTCTTGTTTGATTGTAAATCTCTATGTGTATATAGAC